AACAGAACTCTGAGGTACCCCTGTAGTAGCTGAGAATGAAGGAAACTACCAGACACTGCAGAAAAGGGCCTGACTTTAGAAACTCCCTAAGGCAGTATCTGTGATACCCATCAAATGTTTGAAATGCCAAAGAAGAACATCATGATCAACAGTATCAAAAGCAGCAGTATGATTTAGTAGTATCAACATTGCATACCAGAATCAACCACAGGTAAAATGCCAATGTTGGACACTTTTAGCAAAGCAGATTCAGTACAACGATTAGAAGAGAATTAGACAGGAATGGCTTAAATGTAGCTTTAATAAAATCACACATAGACTCATTCTGACAACGTAGCCCTATATACATTTCTGGAAATCGCAAATCATGTAGCCAGAGCTACTTATGGCTTCATTTCTACGGGGTGGTATGAAGCCGCTCCTTTTCTCGCTTACCAGCTGAATGCTTACCTCCATATGGACTGCTTTTCCGCTGTTTCCAGTTTGTCCGGTAGCTCAACATGTAAATCGGCGGACTTGAGACGCAGACAGGAGTTGACCACAACAACGGGGTTCGAATCCAATGAAGAACAGTTCCAGAAAGCAGGTAGGAATAAACAAACGGTAAAACATAAGATAAACAAGTAAATAATAGGGTGAAAATGGGATAAAATCTGAAAACGTGGTAAAAATCAGTGGGCTTTTCTTTTCTGCAATGCTTTTGAAAACACTGTCGGTTGAGTTTAGGGGGTGGGCGAGTCAATCTGTGGTTTTGAAAACACTATTGGTTGGGTTTAGGGAAGATGGAGAATGGGGGGGATCAGTTGATTGGTCAGTCAGTAAATCAGTCAGTCAACATCATTTACATGAGAACAGCAGGCGTGAATGACACTCGCGAGGGAAATTTGAGATCTGAAAAAGTGTACACAGAAGCCTCTGGTGGATTTGTGAAAAAAAAAAAAACTGTAAAAAAAATACATAGCTCCCGGGATATATTTTGCTCTCTCCAGAAATGTATATAGGAGTACGTAATCAGAAAAAGCCTGGGTTGGTTAGTTTTAATTGCACCAATTTCAATGATAGTTTAGAGACAGGCTGGAAAAACAGCTTCATTTGATTATTTATAGAAGATTGTATTATTTGATTTTATCATTGAAGATTTTTTTTCTTCAATAATTTTTGGGATATTACCAAACACTATACTGTGAGGACAACCGCAAGTAATTTAAATTTCATATAGTCACAGCTGCCTCTAGCCTAATTACTATTACATGTGTACTGTATAGTGTGCTTTATTTACTGTCAATGTCATTCATTCATTCATTCATTCATTTTCTTTTCAGCTTAGTCCATTTATTAATCTAGGGTCACCACAGCAGAATGAACCGGCAACTTATGCAACCCAGTATATGTTTTAACGCAGCGGATGCCCTTCCAGCCACAACCCAAACACTGGGAAACATCCATACACACTCATTTCAACACATACACTACAGACAGTTTAGCTTACCCAATTCATCTATACCACATGTCTTTGGACTTGTGTGGGAAAGCGGAGCACCCAGAGGAAACCCATGCAAACACGAGGAGAACATGCAAGCTCCACACAGAGATGCCAACTGACCCAGCCGAGGCTCGAACCAGCGACCTTCTTGCTGTGCGGCATTCATGCTACCCACTGCACCATCGTGATGCCTTACTGTCAATTTCTTTTTCTTTTTTTAAATTATCAGTAATATCAAGTTCGTGCCTCGCTGGTCTAAAAGAGAGGCTTGTTTGACTAAAAGCTTATCTAATTTAGTGATGAGCTGTAAGCTGACCTACACGCCCTTGTGGTAAGAGAGAGCCAGAGGATTTCCTTTCCTCCTCCACCGTCAAGATGGACAATGTTGTCGCCCCCCTCCTCAGGCCCAGGGAGACCGCAGGGAGACTGGCATTGTGGTATATTGCGGGTAATGTGAGATGGCACCAATAATTCATGGTTACGTGGGGCATGGCATCTGACCAGGCGGAGCAGAAGATGCGCTTTTAAGGGCCCCCTCTGCAGGGTCACCGGCCTGCCGCCTTCCATTTACATTAATTGCTACTCACTCTCCACGTACACACTGCTGCGAAATTCAGTTGTCGGTTTACCTTTTAGTGCTTACTCCTGTTGTGTACACAAACCTTTCAGTACAACCGAGTGTTCAACAACTGCGTTAACTCATCAAAACTGCAGGTTATAAAAGTTCTATATAATGTAGTTAGTTGTCAGAATTGTCAGAAAAAAATATATAACAATTACTGATTAAATAAATGAAAACATAATTGTTTTAGAAGGTAGGGTATCTCCAAACCCCAGTGTTAACCCTAGCCCTCATTGGGGATCATACTAAAATCTACAAATGAGGTTGACATAATTAATATGAGTCTATTTTACGTTTTGTCAATTTAGTGGCTAATTTAGTCGTACAAAAATGTAAAATTTTATAAGGAGATGTGTCAACAAACCCCACTTCTAACCCAACCGTCATTAGGGGATGAGCAAATCATTGTGAATTGTACAAATGAGATCGTATGAATAATACACCATGTCATAAAGCGCAAATCATCTCAGACTGGATTCCTAAACATGACAATGAGTTCACTGTACCCAAATGACCTTCACAGTCACCAGATCTCAATCAAATAGAGCACCTTTGGGATGTGGTGTAACGTGAGATTCGCATCATGTATGTGCAGCCGACAAATCTGCAGCTACTGCGTTATGCTATCATGTCAACATGGAGCAAAATCTCTGAGGAATATTTCCAGAACCTTGTCAAATCTATGCAATATGTATCTTAAGTGCAATATGTTCTATAATACAAGCTACACATTGCAAGTAGATTTAGCCTTAAGCTATCTGATAGCATGGAAAGCTCTGATCATGTAGCTTGTTCCCACGCTTCTTGCGCTCACGCAAAGATGGCCTTTCCACATTTAAAAAAAAAGCGTATTAATGCTTTAAATTTCCTCATATAGATCACCTCACATTCCTTCAGCATTCTGTGCAGCACCTGCATCCTTGTGGATCTTATTGTCTCATTTAAGAGAGACGAAGAGATGCATGGAGAGATGGAGTAACCCTCAGTTGAGCTAATCCAGGGCCTCTAAAGAGGTTTAAAGTACTCTGGTTACATCTAATCTTTTTTTTTTTTTTTTTTGCTCAGACCCAGCTAAGCCTGAAACCTCTTCTCCATGATCGAAACGCACAAATAAAGGTCTCTCTCTCAGCCGGTGCAGGTATGAAAGGCCGCTATGTGCTTTGTGGATTAGAGTGGACTTTCCCCCTCCCGCTTTCTCAATTAGAGAAAGGATGAAATAGAGGAGGGAAACAAAAAAGCATTTAGCTGTTTACAGAGTAGCTGCTTTACCCAGCTGAGGGACTTTTCATGTTGCACTTGATTTCTGTTTTTTTTTTTTAATTTCAGAAAGGTTGGTTTCATTTATAGACAGTACCATGATGCAACAATATTTACTCACCGTGCCATCACTAACTAACTAAAATATGTATTCAAATTATATTTAAAAGATTCTGACACTGTTTGGAAGAGATTCCATATTAACTATTAATTACTAATAATTATTTTACTTCTAGGATAAACTCTTATTTAAAAACTAAATACCATATCCATTCATTAGTGCTTTTTTATTACTATTATTATTATCTTTTAATTATTTTTTAAAAAACAAGCCAAATAAAAACTTAATCCACATGGAAATAACATATAGAAACACATATGTTTTAATATAGGGTTTGATGTAGGTTTTAATATATGTGAAGTCAGAATTATTAGCCCCCCTGAATTATTATTCCCCCTGTTTATTTTTCCCCCAATTTCTGTTTAACAGAGAGAAGATTTTTTCAACACTTTTCTAAACATAATAGTTTAAATAACTCACTTCTGATTACTGTTTTATTTTATCTTTGCCATGATAACAGCAAATAATATTTGACTAGATATTTTTCAAGACGCTTCTACACAGCTTAAAGTACATTTAAAGGCTTAACTAGTAACTAGGCAGGTTAACAGGTAACTAGGTCAAGTTATTGTATAACGATGGTTTGTTCTGTAGACAATCGAAAAATATAAAGGGGCTAATAATTTAGACCTTATATGGTTTTAAAAAATTAAACACAGCTTTTATTGTAGCTGATATAAAACAAATAAGACTTTCTCCAGAAGAAAAAAAAAATTGTTAAAATTATTATCAGACATACTGTGAAAATGTCCTTGCTCTGTTAAACATAATTTGGGAAATATTTTAAAAAGAAAATAAATTTCAAAGGGGGGTTAATAATTCTGACTTTAACTCTATATGTTGAATTTTTTTTCTTTTTTATATATTACCCAAATGATGTTTAACAGAGCAAAGGAATTTGCACATTATGTCTGAATGTTTTTCTTTCTTTTTTATTCTGGAAAAAGCCTTATTTTGTTTTATTTCGGCAAGAATAAAAGCAGTTATTAATAAAAAATAAAAAAAAAACATCTTAAGTTTTTTTTATTTTTTTTTATAGTCCATAGAACAAACCATCGTTATATAATATCTTGGCTAATTACCCTAACCTGCCTAGTTAACCTAACATAGTTAAGCCTTTAAATGTCACTTTAAGCTGTATAGAAATATCTTGAAAAATATTTAGTCAAATAATAGTTGAGTAATCAATCACGGAAAAAATTAAGATTATTAATATTAATATTTATTTACTATTAGTTTATTGTGGTCATTTATTCATTTTAAACGACTAACAAAGTAACCAACTAAATACTAGTATAAGTGATAATGAGTGAGTTGAAAGAAACTTATCAAATTCGAAATTAGAAAACAATAAATAGTTGTTCACACTGTATTACTTTTTCAATCCCCAATTAAATATCAACAAAAAACTGTGTATCCTTAATTTGATAGGTCGGATTTAAAAGTTCAGGCAGTGCTGAAGACAGCTCTTTTCTGCTGCGGGGTCTTATCACACTCGCTGTCGCATGTTGTGATTTCATCTGTTTCATGCTGCACGCGGGATTCCGCCGATCATTCAAGGTACTGCGTTTGCATCCTACACTAGTGCGAGCAGATTGTGCAATGTTTGTTCAAGCTATGCTCTTGATTCCACACAAACTAATAACACATATATAGTTAGGTCGCGCGCTGTTTTGTGCTTCTTCATGCTGTAGTCGGTTGTGCGCGCAGGTTTGTTTGTGTAATGAAGCTGTCAGTGGTTTATCACAGCTGTCAACTCCTAAATACTTCACTCAGGCAGACTGTCAGGCTCATTGGCGATCTGTTTTGTCTGGACTGATTACGTTAGTAACTAGAATCCCTACTCTTTCTGTGTTTCTAACGTACACGCGCTTCTAGTGTTCCTGTGCGGTTTAATTAAATGATTGAGGTAAAGTTGGTTTTATATTCGCACTCGGTCTGTATATCAAGGTTTCTGCAGGGTCTTAAAAAGTCTTAAATTTACTGAAATATTGTGTTTTAGGTCTTAAATCTTTTTTTAAACGAGTCTTAATTTTCCTTTGTTCATAAATTGCAACCCAATCTGGCCAAAACCCGTACAATCCTCAACAATCCATCTCAATAAAACTTAACATTTTTATTTAAAAAAGTAATTATTAACTCTATTTATCATACTGGGTATGATAAATAGAGAATATTTTCCTTAAAATAACATTTCTTTCAGTTCGCCATGTAGATTTACTTAAAACCTTTAAAATATTTGTTTATTATTTTGATTTTAAAGAAAGTTTATGTTGGGGAAAAAGTGTACGGATACAAGCTTGTTTTACACAATATTTCAAATATTTTGAATGTAATATATATGTAATGTATATGTATATATTAAATTATTATTGTATTGTTAATTTACCAATACATTAATATTGTTAAATATTAATGTATTTAACTTTCCATGTGGGCCATTTGAAAAATTCCTTAGGCTTTAATGCTTTATGAGTCTAAAATTTTAGTCATAATGGTCTTAAAAATGTCTTAAAGTCTTAAATATAACTCTGTGAAACCTGCAGAAACCCTGGTATATTGTTTATTATGCTACTTGTATTCGGTCTGAAGTCGCATGAAATTCTCAAAAGTACTACTTTAACATTGTCAAGACGGCCGTGTTCATGATTAAAGCAATTTCTAAGTGTTTTGTATACATTTCTTATTTGTTGGTACATTCAGGCTAGGCTTGTACAATACATCATTTCAGCATCAATATTGCAATGTGTGCATCTGCAATAGATATGCAACGTTAGTTAACTTTGCTGAGTAATTTTTTCACTTTTAAATATACAAAACCACAGAGCATGCACTGTTTATTTCACTTTTATCTTAGCTTTATTGCATTCATCTATACTTGTAGATTCATTTATGTTATGCATGATTCACTTCCCCTATCGTCCCAACCAATCAAAATTAATAAGTTTGATAACACTTCAGGGACCAATTCTCACTATTAACTAGTTGCTTATTAGCATGCATGTTATTGAGATTTTGGCTGCTTATTATTACTTATAATCTTTATTTTCTGCATAATCTTATTCTACATCCCTAACCCAATACCCAAACTACCCTATAATTAATAATAATGAGCAAATTAGGAGTTTTTTGATGCAAAAGTCTTGGTTTGCTTGCTAATAGCAACAATTGAGCCTTGTTGAAGTAAAGTGTGACGATTTTTTTCTAAATAGTGCTATTCTGAATCATTTGATTTTGAGTATCTAAACCCGATCCAAAACCCGATCCAAAACCCGATCCAATACTTCTATAATAAATAAGACAATAAAGAAGAGCGAAGAAACAGATCCAGGATGTTCCTTATTTTTTATTTAATTCACCTTATTTCATCATTCAATAACTCTGTGAGGTAGCTTGAACAATCAAGTAGTAAATAACATCAGTTCTTCACCTCTTGCTATCCCAAGTTATCTCACATATCTGCTATGGCAATGTTGTTGTCATGAACTTTATAATACCTCTAGAATGCAGACATACTCGGGTTGTTGCTAGATCAGATATGGTTGTGGCTGGAAATGAACGTGAATTCTTGATATTATTTATTAAATTGTTAAATTTATTGTATTTTATTAACGTCTACCCCAACCCCCACCCTAAACCCAACTATTGCAGTGGTGTAAAAACAGTAGTTGTACCGAGTATTAGTTGTTATTTAGTAAATTACCCAATAAATTGTATATTATTAACGTCTACCACTATCCCCATTCTCTACCCTAAACCCAACTGTCACATTACTGTAAAAATATTAATTGTTATACAGTGTCACACAAATGATGCTATGTTGATGTGCTTATCTGCAGCTGTATCAAAAAAAATGATAGAAAATGAAAATGATAGAATGAATTCGGTAAAGTAAGTGCATTAATCAATAACACAAAAACTGACATTATTATATTATATTTATTATATTATATTTTATTATATTATATTTTATTTTATTATAATATATAATGAGTCTCAAACCGAGTGATAGGACCTGATTTCTGAACAAGTTATCGGATCTGGACATCACTCCTATTTAATCATTTGGTGAAATTTTACCAAGCGGATACAGTATATCGCAATATGTATCTCAGAAAAATTCAATATCGTAATCTCAGATTTTTCCAATATCCTGCAGCTCTTTCAAGCAGTTGGTTCTGCAATTATCCGTTTCTTTTTTTAATAATTGTTTGTAATGTTGATCGAAATACAGTATGTTGTGCCAGGTCTCTACTGGGGTGAGACTTATCAACAGTCTCAATAAACAGAAAAAACTAAAACAAAACTGAATCACAAAATACTTAACCTGCACTGTGAAAAATGCTGGCTTGCACACAATTTCTTTATGTTGTCCTAACACAAACCGATTTACTAAACGTAATTGATTTTACAGATGTAAGTGTCTTGAACATAAAACAATTAAGTTAAAAAATCTTTAGAATTGTGTTATGTCAGCTTATTTTAAACAAGTAGTTTGAACAAACAGCAAAAAATCAAGTGTCTTCATTTTACTAGCAGGCTTTTCAGTTTTTACCGTAAAATCACAGCCGTGATTTACAGTACAGCGAACCTATCTTCATCAATCCAGCAAACCAAAATCCCTCAATACACCTCCGCAAGGAAGCAGGTGATAATGTTCACAGATAAACAACGTGTTACCTGCAGGTCTCTTTGCTAATCAGCACTAAAGCCCCTTAAGTGCGGATGCAATAACAAAGTGGCCACCGTCGCTTGCCTCACACACGCACACACAAAGAGCAGCTATGCATTCAGCTCTTATCTGTGTCAGCCTCAGCGTGGCATTCACGCCATGGCCAGGAACAATGCGGCCTGTCGCTCGCCTCCGTCATCCTGACTGACAGTGGGTGTGGACGCACTTGTGTCTGGCTTCAGCTCTCTATCTTCCACGGAGCTGTTTTTCCAGTCCAGATTCTCCCCCCTTCCCTCCGTTTTCCTTTAGCAACGCACGGCAGCACAATAAAGGGTGTGTATATGTGTGTGTCTGTGTGTGTACCCCGCACTTCCTCCCATATTTGTTTAACTCTGCTTTTGAATGGACGTTTGCCACATTTGTTTCCTCCACTGGAGAGTTTGACTTTTTCGGTACAAAGGGGGTGTCCTGTTTAAATGGGGAAAAGAAACGCTGACTAATGACTTTGTAAGTGTTAGGCCCGGTGATGTGGAAATGTAGATGTGCTAGAAAGCGCGTGAGAGGAGGGAAACTGATAAGATGTAGTTAATAATAATGACTAACATCTGAGTTATGATGATATAGTTACGACCCGGGAGTTGAGACCACAGTTCCAGCACACAGACTTGAATGTCATTCGACTCTCTTCATGTTTTTTTTTTCATTGATGTTGTATTATCGAACACTTGGATTGTTCAAACATTCAATACCATTTCTAAAATAGGGTTTTAGATTGGGACTGGTGATTGTTTGAAACAGGCATGCGTGTAGACAGGGGTGGACTGGGACAAAAATTCAGCCCTGGCACTGTAGCCACACCAGCCCACATTACCACACCGATACAGCCCCAATCACAGACAAGCACATTCACTACTTATATTGGTGTACAGATGGTGAAATAATATAAGCAGTACCATATGTAATAGACATTTAAACATTTAATTTATGTAACTGGAACAAAAACAACCCGTTACCTGTGAATGTGTATTACAAACGCACACACACACACACACACAAATGGACATGCAATACCTTTATTCACAAATAACAATATATGTCATTCTCTGCAGTGTTGTCATTCTCTCCACCCCCACCTAAGGATTAATTACACACTGTAACCTGTGCATGTATTTAATGTTTTACTTTAGAAACTAGCTATGTATTTAGAGTTTACTACAAATGCCTACAGTATTATGGCTATAGCTATGTTTTTTTAGGCATGTTAGACAATATTGCTAGTACAGTAGCATACAGCAGTTTATATACCCTGGATCTCACGTTATAATAACATTTTAAAATGTATGGGAGTTCTACGCTAAGCTTACTGTTAAACACAGTATTGGTTAATGTCAGAAGTAGTGTGAATGGCGTCAAAATGGCTTAGTATATGTTAGTGTAATGACTTAGAAGTATTTTTTCTGTTTTCGTCTTACCTCCTCTATGGCGCTACTGTCCACTAATGCAGCAAACGATTTAAAACTTTTTGAGAATATTTCATTTAACTTTATGCATTTGGCAGCGTTTGATTTTAGAGCCCTTTTTTTGCACGTTTTTTTCAAAGTCGATCTCTGACACTTAGCTTGTGTTGCACTTACTGTTTTTTTGACATTTATGCCAGATTTTGATTACGTCCGCGTAACCTCTGATTGGGTCGGCCCCTCTTAAAACCAGCCAGCCATCACGGATTGGGCCAAATGCTTAACATTTACTATTTTTATTATTATTATTACATTATTACCATAATCATCGCCATCATAATATTCACATCTTGGACGAGATAAAAGCTGCCTGCATGTAAAAACATATAATAAAACATATAAAAAATAAAAACCTTTTTTAAAAAACTGAC